GCTATTGCAGTTGTAATATTTAATTAGAATTTACGAAGCATAATCTATTGCTGATGCACGAAACCTGCTGTAAGCCCTGTTGAATAAACAAAGTAATAAATGCCTACTGCACTTTAAAGAGTTACATTTACCCTCCATGATTTATCACTAAAATTTTATGCAACTAAAGCGCTTTCTGCTGCCGCTGCTATATTAGCAAAATAATAATATGACTTGCTATGCTTGCTGCTGCTAATATTATTTCTAACCTTGCATCTGAATTTGCCATGCATGTTATAAAATTTGCTAACATTGCGATCTGAATAGCTATGCATACTGGCTACTGCAAAAAAAGTACTTAGAATTGCTACTGCCCCTTTATAAATAACCAAAAACAACCAATTAATGCTTATTTCGCTTTGAAGAGCTCTATAAATTCTGTTGAATTGAATAGCAAAGTAATAAAATGCCTAGTTCACTACCATCCAAGCTTTATCTTATCACTGAAATTTCATGCAACTAAATGCACTTTCTGTTGCCGCTGCTATATAAGCAACAATGATAATTGGATTGACATGCAGACTGCTGCTAATATTTCTAACATTGTGTCTGAATTTTGTTATGCGTGCTGCTGCTATTAAAATTCACTAAATTAGCGATCTGAATAGCTATGCATACTGCTGCACAAATGTACTTAGAATTGCTATAAGCGTCTTTATTAACAAGCAAACGCAATCAAAAAATTATTTTGCTTTGAAGAGTTCACAAAATCTACTGTAAGCCCTGTTAAATAGCAAAGGAATAAAATGCCTATTTCACTTTCACAAAATTAGCGATCTGAATAGCTATGCATACTGCTGCACAAATGTACTTAGAATTGCTATAAGCGTCTTTATTAACAAGCAAACGCAATCAAAAAATTATTTTGCTTTGAAGAGTTCACAAAATCTACTGTAAGCCCTGTTAAATAGCAAAGGAATAAAATGCCTATTTCACTTAAGAGTTACTTACCCCATGCATCATCACTGAAATTTCAAGCAACTAAAGTACTTTCTGCTGCCGCTGCTATATTAGCAACAATTTGAATTCCTGCTGCTAATATTATTTCTAACATTACATATTAATTTAATATGCATGCTGCTGCTATTAAATTTGCTACATGCAATCTGAATAACTATGCATACTGCTGCTACAGCTGCACAAAGGTACTTAGAATTGCTAAGCCCCTTTGAAATAAATGAAACGCAAGTGATGCCTATTTGCTTGAGGAGTTCACATACCATCCATTTTTAGTCACTGAAACTTCAGCAATTGTAAGTTGCTTTGGATAAAAGCATCTGCAAAATGAATAAATGTGAATGTAAACTATGGTCTACCTACTGCTGCTGCAACTAAACGCATGTTTTGATTTGTTATGCATGCTGCTATTAATAATTCGCTAATAATGTAATCTGATTATATGGATACTGCTGCTACGCTCCATGAAAGTACTAGAATTGCTGTAGCCCATCCATGCATTATCACTGCAACTAAAGTACTTTCTGCTGCCCCTGCTATATTAGCAATAATAATTGGTTGCTATGCAGACTGCTGCTAATATTATTTCTAACATTGCATCTGAATTTGCTATGCCATTCTGCTGCGATTAAATCTGCAAAAAATTGTGATCTGAATAGCTATGCATACTGCTGCTACAGCTGGACGAAGGTACTTAGAATTACTAAGAGTCTTTATTAAACAATGAAACGCAAACAAATAATGCTTATTTCGCTTTGAAGAATTCACAAAATCTCTGTACGCCCTGTTAAATGAACAAAGTAATGAAAGCCTATTTCAATTTTAAAGAGTTACTTACCCCATGTGTTATCACTGAAATTTCATGCAACCAGATACTTTCTGCTGCTGCTGCTGCTATAAACAACAGTGATCATTTGACTTGATTTGCTATGCATACTGCTATTAACGCAATCTGAATTCAATGATACTGCTGCTACACTCCAAGAAAGTACTATAATTGCTGTAAGCCCAACTGAATGCACAAATAGTAAATCCCAGTTTAAGAGTGTCCTACTATTAGCTACATTGTACATGGGCTACTGATTGGAAATTATTTATTATTAGTAGTATCTTTATATTTTAAACGAATTCATGATTATCCTACCACTAAATAAACTAAATAAACTACCACTAAACATGACTTTCATTATAAACTCTTCACTATCACTGAACCAAGGTAACGAGTGAAATAGAGATGTGGCCCCTTTAAGAATGAGCGCTCCCTCTTCTGAGTGCATTGCAATGTGGCACGAGTACACTTTTGAGCGGGTATATTATTTTCTGCTGCTCATTAATTTGTTATGGTTAAATAGGTAAGGCTGTTGACAACATGACATTTATGAAAGACATTTATACGGGTTCACCTTAACTTAAACTGTGAAACGCCAACATCAAACCGACCTTACTAGTGAGGTGTGCATCTGAAAGTGAACCGTTCACGGTTAATGTAGAAATGAATGCCCACAGAAGATATCAAAAGCATTGGAGATTTCGGGCAAATAAGGCAATCCCCAATTCACTTTACTATTCTAAATCCGCGATGCTTATGACTTGGAAAACTGCTTGCTGCTGCTCAGAGGCGGATTTAGTGATTTGGGGTCCCCAGGCAAAATACAGGAATGGAGCCCTATACAATTTCACACATTTACAACCTTGAGGTTCCTTTCACTGTTGCTCGCTGCTGCACGACCGTGTCCCATAGTTGTGTCTAATCTTTTAGATTTTTCATGTACATGTTATAAATAAAGGATTTATTTTATGTTGTAAATCCCTTGTTCACATTTAAACAGGTTATAATAGTATTAGAGTAGGTTGGACACTAGGTGGTGTGTTGGGGTAATTTTCACTATGCAATTGTCTACACAACGCAAGGCTGTCTAATTCTAAACTTTAAAATATACATTTATTTTTTATTTATTTTAATTGCACATTTAAATTAAACTGAGGGAAATTATAAATGTACATGATTAAGGATTATTTCAACCAAACATGAAGTGTGCCTGTGTGGAAAGTGACTGTGCATTGTCCTTCTTGGGTCTTTCACAAAAACGAGTGAGCGCCACTTAAAATAATTAAAATAGGCCCTATATAATATGCACAGTTGCTTAGTATTAAAATTATAGCTTCAGATGCATGATATTTGTAGGGCCCTATGAAATCCGTTTGATTTTTCCAAAATGAGCCTGTCTTATTTTTTCCAAAATCGTTTTTTCAGTTTTAATTTTTCTGGATTCAGTTTTTTTTTTCCGTTTTAATTTTTCTGGATGATTATATTAAATTTTAACAAAAAACATGTCTAATTCATTAAAATCATGAAACTTGTTTAATTTAACAGCAATTTAGGCCTTTTAAAAGTTTAACAAAAATTACATTCTTATGGCCCAAATTCTGCGACATTCAATGTGGACACACAGACGGTTGTCGTGGTAATGAACACCACAGCAACCACTTGTGCATCAGCATTGAACGCGCATCTCGCATATAAAAAGCATTTTAGGGGGCCCTTGGCATTTGGGGGCCCAAGACGGTCGCCTACCTTTGCCTAATGGTTAAGTCCGCCTCTGCTGCTGCTAATGCTACTGCTGTTATATGAACAAGACATGCTTAGTAATTACTCCTCACCTGCGCGTAGTTTTACAACTAACGCAATAATCCACTGAATCAGAGTGAAGACCGTTTACTTATCTTAGCTGTTTAGTTTCAGGGAAACTCTGAAAGCGAACTGCAGGAATCTCTAGTGAATGCTAGCCAGCCATATAAATGCAAGGCAGTAAGCTCATTGGCTGCATATGCAGCATGAACCAATCAGCTTGTGCCAAGTCGTTTAACTCTCTGAATATCATGAGTTACATTAACAACCCATCAGCCTGCACAATCTAGAGTTTCATGACTGAACTATATATATATCACGATATAGTTATTTTTTCTTTAATAAGGTTTTTATGATATCAGTTTTTGATACCATAGAATTTTCATAATTCTTGTCACTACTGTCAATATCACAGAAAACAAAAAAAACAAAAAAGAAAAGAAAGAGAAAAACTCAAGATAATTGAAGATAAGTAACTAAATACAAGCAACAGGACAAAAAACTACAATAAATAAAGTGATTTAGTCAAGAGATTTTCTCTCACTGCTGTTTGATTAACAATGACAGACAGGAGGAATAACAAGCAGCTTCCCATTTAAGATCGAACATCCGGATGCAATATACTGTTACACATACTGTTCTTTCTCAGCGGTTTACTTTCACTGTTTATGAGGATACTTGCAATGATGGACATTTTGACACATACATGTGTGTATTTAACTATTCAAGGCCTATAAAGCGGCAAAAATAACTATACATATGAATAAAAATTCATATGCACACGTCTCTCTGACAGTGCGTGCAAGCCGCACATATAGCGAAATATGTTCTCTTTCGCTGCGGATTGCATTTCAACGGCTTAAAACCACTTGTTTTTAAGCCACAATCCTTAAAAACGTGTGCAAGCGCAAGTTTTTGTGAGCACGTAGCACAGCAACATCACATGAGGGTGTAACCGCGATAGAGACGATAGTCCAAAATTTGGTTTATTTGTGTCTACCGGTATATTGCCCACCCCTAACTGTTATTATAAATTGTAATAATATTCTACAATATTACTATTTTTACTCTTACTTTTACTTTGATTTTTGATCAAATAAATGCAGCCTTGGTGAGCTATAGAGTCATTTAAAAAAAAAAAACCTTACTGACCCCAAACTTTTGAACTTTTGTGTACTTTTTTGTACACAAGTTGAATATATATAAAAAATACTGTATGTATCGAGGCAGCTCAATAAGGTTTGGAACAGAGCTACTACTATGTGCAATCAACAAAACCAGAGTGCATTAACGTGAAAATAGAAATAGACTCTGTAAGCAAAACACATTTCAAAGGAAGCAGTGAAAGGACTGAGAAGACTGAACCTGAGCTCACCTGTCTGCGTAGGGTTCGTGAGAGAGAGTGTGCCCGGCGAGGTGGGGGGATTCGTGGGATGCTCTCTGAATCTGATAAGCTATGAGGACTGATCGGTCTGAACAGATCAGTGGGCACACTCAAGAGCAGTGTGGGTTCTTCTGTTTGAGACTGGATAGAGCCTGTAGACCCTGTGTGAGGAGACATTTTTCTATTACATTTCATATTGCATCTGCATTTTAAACAAATTCAGAAATAAATTGCAGTGCTCTACCAGTCTGAACGAGTTGAGGTGAGGTTGTGTGGGTACTGTGGGTTGAGTTGGGCTGCAGCGGCAGGAACATGTAGCTGTCATTGGGCAGAGAATGCGTACGGCCCACTGAGGTCTTCTTCACGTACAGTAAGTGCTCATGCGTTGGCTCGTCTGGCTGCTGGGGGTCTGTGGGATCTGCTGGAGCTGTGGTCTGAGGGGCATTAAAAGAGATGCAAGTCAAGGTGAGAGCTGGTACTTGTGTTTGGAGCATCAGGGGCCCTTATGAACACATGGAAGCACACGCACACACATTGTACCTAATACATAGAGGCTGGACTGGTTAGCATACAATGAAAAGCAAACATCTCTGTGCACTAGACACAGGGAGGAGACTGATCAAGAAACATGTTCTCATAAATCATGTTGCATGAATGCAAATGCATATTTCTTATATGAATATGTACATCTAATGAATTTTTCATATCAATGTATTGTATACTGTATATACATTTAAATTACAGATGAAAGTATGAACATTCGCTATAAAATTTCTTTTTTTATTCTTCTTTTTAGTGAATTGCCTCGTCCAGTTCACAAAACTGAATGATTCATGAATCAGATTGAATCAGACACACTGACTCAGTTTGGAAATTTTGGTCTGTTAATCTGTTAAATGAGTCTTAAGAACCAAAAATTATGATACTTTTTGTATTTTTGTGTCATTTTTTTGATGTAATACTCTTCAGAATTTCAAATTTTCATGAAAAAAATGAAAGAAATACAGGGTTGGAATGACATGAGATTAGTAAACAATAGTGAGAGCAGTGTTGGGGAAAGTTACTTTTAAAAGTAATGCATTACACTATTGCGTTACTCCATAAACAAGTAACTAATTACGTTACTTAGTTACTTTTTATGGAAAGTAATGCATTACGTTACTTTTGCGTTACTTTTTAAATCTGGACAGGGCTTGCTTGTGTTTTTAAAACAAAAAAGTTATATTTTTGGCAAATATAAAAGCCTTTCACACCAAAAGTGAAATGAATAAGCCTCAGGCTGAAGGGAAAGTCAATTTACGTCCGTACAGTAGAATGCAGAAGAAGAAATTTCAGCACACTTCAGCAATAAAAAAAGACACAAATGTTTGTCTGGAGTAATTTGTGCTTATTAGTACGGTTGAACTGGATCATCGAAGGACAGAAGCAAAGACATTGGTTAATAGAAGGGGATTAAATACATAAAGCATATTTGTGTTGTTTTACATTTAATTATTGCAGGTTTGCGTCATATTCTGAGTTGCATTATTTTTATTAATTTTGAGGAATACTGAATCTGTGTTTTTTGTGAGTGAGATTAATTAATGCATATTCATATTTATTTTAGAACTACAGTAACATCTTCTGATTTCTCTCAACATGGGGACAGGAGAGCTGTCAATCAATAAATTGGGAAAAAAAAGTAACTTGCGTTACTTATTTGAAAAAGTAACTCAGATATTCTCTTGTAAATTAAAAAGTAATGCGTTACTTTACTAGTTACTTGAAAAAAGTAATCTGATTACGTAACTCACGTTACTTGTAATGCGTTACCCCCAACACTGAGTAAGAGTAACCAATAATTACTTTTTAATTTACAATTTTTTATTTATTTTTTTTTACAATTTTTGGTGAATATATTCTGATCATTATTTGTGATTAAATGTGTTTTGATGTGGCATTTTTATCCTGCTTTACCTGGACATTGTGAAGCTATGCACATCTCAGTGAACATTTTTTCATCCACATAAATACAACAGAAAAATGAGAACAGGCTGGATCTAAATCTCACTCATCTGAGAGATGCTATGTATAAATTATTAATGGATCTATGGGCATAGTTCTGAGACAATGAATATGAATTCAATTGCGAGGTGACAAAAACCATCAGCCTCCTCCCTTCAGAAGCTGCGCCCAGAGCCTGAACTACTGTAGCTGGCAGACAGCAGAAGCCGAACCCATACCACACTCCTGTATTCTTTCAAGAAGCATGGTACTAGGGAGAAACTTCACTTTTAATACACAAAAGATAAGACATAAATAAAACCATGAAACAAAAACAAAGAGACACAGGTAGATATGCAGACCGATAGATTGAGGATGCAAACAGGAACATCTAAAAAGTATGAAGAGACTAGATGGACAAGAGATTCAGAAATGGCCTTTAGACATGTGGGAGGAAGAATGGGGACATAGCTGCAGAACTCAAACAGGAAAGGAGCAGATTGACAGGCAGTAATACTACTCTACTGGACTGGACTGGACCATACAAACACCAGGCTGGTGCGTCGCCTACCTTTGCCTAATGGTTAAGTCCGCCTCTGCTGCTGCTAATGCTACTGCTGTTATATGAACAAGACATGCTTAGTAATTACTCCTCACCTGCGCGTAGTTTTACAACTAACGCAATAATCCACTGAATCAGAGTGAAGACCGTTTACTTATCTTAGCTGTTTAGTTTCAGGGAAACTCTGAAAGCGAACTGCAGGAATCTCTAGTGAATGCTAGCCAGCCATATAAATGCAAGGCAGTAAGCTCATTGGCTGCATATGCAGCATGAACCAATCAGCTTGTGCCAAGTCGTTTAACTCTCTGAATATCATGAGTTACATTAACAACCCATCAGCCTGCACAATCTAGAGTTTCATGACTGAACTATATATATATCACGATATAGTTATTTTTTCTTTAATAAGGTTTTTATGATATCAGTTTTTGATACCATAGAATTTTCATAATTCTTGTCACTACTGTCAATATCACAGAAAACAAAAAAAACAAAAAAGAAAAGAAAGAGAAAAACTCAAGATAATTGAAGATAAGTAACTAAATACAAGCAACAGGACAAAAAACTACAATAAATAAAGTGATTTAGTCAAGAGATTTTCTCTCACTGCTGTTTGATTAACAATGACAGACAGGAGGAATAACAAGCAGCTTCCCATTTAAGATCGAACATCCGGATGCAATATACTGTTACACATGTATTTTCTTTCTCAGCGGTTTACTTTCACTGTTTATGAGGATACTTGCAATGATGGACATTTTGACACATACATGTGTGTATTTAACTATTCAAGGCCTATAAAGCGGCAAAAATAACTATACATATGAATAAAAATTCATATGCACACGTCTCTCTGACAGTGCGTGCAAGCCGCACATATAGCGAAATATGTTCTCTTTCGCTGCGGATTGCATTTCAACGGCTTAAAACCACTTGTTTTTAAGCCACAATCCTTAAAAACGTGTGCAAGCGCAAGTTTTTGTGAGCACGTAGCACAGCAACATCACATGAGGGTGTAACCGCGACTGTTCTTTCTCAGCGGTTTACTTTCACTGTTTATGAGGATACTTGCAATGATGGACATTTTGACACATACATGTGTGTATTTAACTATTCAAGGCCTATAAAGCGGCAAAAATAACTATACATATGAATAAAAATTCATATGCACACGTCTCTCTGACAGTGCGTGCAAGCCGCACATATAGCGAAATATGTTCTCTTTCGCTGCGGATTGCATTTCAACGGCTTAAAACCACTTGTTTTTAAGCCACAATCCTTAAAAACGTGTGCAAGCGCAAGTTTTTGTGAGCACGTAGCACAGCAACATCACATGAGGGTGTAACCGCGATAGAGACGATAGTCCAAAATTTGGTTTATTTGTGTCTACCGGTATATTGCCCACCCCTAACTGTTATTATAAATTGTAATAATATTCTACAATATTACTATTTTTACTCTTACTTTTACTTTGATTTTTGATCAAATAAATGCAGCCTTGGTGAGCTATAGAGTCATTTAAAAAAAAAAAACCTTACTGACCCCAAACTTTTGAACTTTTGTGTACTTTTTTGTACACAAGTTGAATATATATAAAAAATACTGTATGTATCGAGGCAGCTCAATAAGGTTTGGAACAGAGCTACTACTATGTGCAATCAACAAAACCAGAGTGCATTAACGTGAAAATAGAAATAGACTCTGTAAGCAAAACACATTTCAAAGGAAGCAGTGAAAGGACTGAGAAGACTGAACCTGAGCTCACCTGTCTGCGTAGGGTTCGTGAGAGAGAGTGTGCCCGGCGAGGTGGGGGGATTCGTGGGATGCTCTCTGAATCTGATAAGCTATGAGGACTGATCGGTCTGAACAGATCAGTGGGCACACTCAAGAGCAGTGTGGGTTCTTCTGTTTGAGACTGGATAGAGCCTGTAGACCCTGTGTGAGGAGACATTTTTCTATTACATTTCATATTGCATCTGCATTTTAAACAAATTCAGAAATAAATTGCAGTGCTCTACCAGTCTGAACGAGTTGAGGTGAGGTTGTGTGGGTACTGTGGGTTGAGTTGGGCTGCAGCGGCAGGAACATGTAGCTGTCATTGGGCAGAGAATGCGTACGGCCCACTGAGGTCTTCTTCACGTACAGTAAGTGCTCATCCGTTGGCTCGTCTGGCTGCTGGGGGTCTGGGGGATCTGCTGGAGCTGTGGTCTGAGAGGCATTAAAAGAGATGCAAGTCAAGGTGAGAGCTGGTACTTGTGTTTGGAGCATCAGGGGCCCTTATGAACACATGGAAGCACACGCACACACATTGTACCTAATACATAGAAGCTGGACTGGTTAGCGTACAATGAAAGGCAAACATTACTGCGCACTAGACGTAGGGAGGAGACTGATCAAGAAACATGTTCTCATAAATCATGTTGCGTATGTGCAAATGCATATTTCTTATATTAATATGCACATTTTATAATTTTTTTCATATCCATGTATTGTATACTGTATTTAATTTAAATTACAGATGACTGAAAGTATGAATATTTGCTATCAATCATTTTTTTTGTAATTTCTTTTTAATGAATTGTCTCATTCAGTTCACAAAACTGAATGATTCATGAATCAGATTGAATAAGACATACTCCGTTTGGAAATTTTGGTCTGTTAAATGAGTCTCAAGAACCAAATTGATGATACATTTTTGGTGTTTTGTGTCCTTTTTTGAAGTAACACTCTTCAGAATTTCTAATTTTTATGGGAAAAAAATTGGAATGAGGTGAGATTAGTAAACAATAGTAATTACAGTAATATTAAATAACAACTGGACTTTTTTTTAATTTATGGTGAATTTTTCCTTGCAATAACACTCATGCAAGTCCACATATTCTTACACACAGATTTCATTTGTTTTGTAAAAAGTTCTCGATTATATTCTGATCATTATTTGTGATTAAATGTGTTTTGAGTACATTTTCTCCCTTTCCACTGCATTGTTTATAATCAATCTTTGTGGGTAACATATACATACCCATTTAGATTTATGGTGCTATTTTTAACCTGTTTTATGGACATTGTGAAGTTATGCACATTTCAGTGCACATTTCATTGCCTTTTTTCATTGACATAAATACAACAGAAAAATGAGAACAGGCTGGATCTAGATCTCACTCATCTGAGAAATGCTATGTGTAAATTATTTATGGATCTATGGGCATATTTCTGAGACAATGAATATGAATTCAGTTGCGAGGTGACAGAAACCATCAGCCTCCTCCCTTCAGAAGCTGCGCCCAGAGCCTGAACTACTGTAGCTGGCAGACAGCAGAAGCCGACCCCATACCACACTCCTATATTCTTTCAAGAAGCATGGTACTAGGGAGAAACTTCACTTTTAATACACAAAAGATAAGACAGAGATAAAATCATGAAACAAAAACAAAGAGACACAGGTAGATATATGCAGACAGATAGATTGAGGATGCAAACAGGAACATCTAAAAAGTATGAAGAGACTAGATGGAGAAGAGGTTTAGAAATGGCCTTTAGACATTTAGACGTATGGGAGGAAGAGCGGGGACATAGCTGCAGAACCCAGACAGGAAAGGAGCAGATTGACAGGCAGTAAATACTACTCTACTGGACTGTACAGGACCATACAAACACCAGGCTGGTGCGAAATGTACAGAGAGAGGGAAAGAGAGAAAGACAAAGAGAGGAGCGGATGGTTAGAAACCCCCAAAGCTTCCAAACGCACTCGCCTCTCAGATCTGCATAAAGTGATTATGATGAAGGTGCTCTACTTTTACAAATTCATCAGACCAAGTGTCAGAAAACAGATTACTGGTATAGTTTTGGTATAAATTAATCATACAGCCCTGGCACGGCAGGTACGTAATTAGGTTACACATGTAGAGAGGATGCACCAGTGTTAGGGAAGCTTGCAAACTAGTTTGTCAATATACAAGCTACTCCTATTATAAAGTAGCTAAACTACAGACAGACTGCTCTCTTGAAGTACTAATAGTTTGTTAAACTACAAGCTACTGCAAGAAAGTAGCTAACTTAGGGTTAATTATATTATATAATTTTTATATTATATTATTTGCTGAATTCTATATCAAATCCATAGGAATTGTTTACTTAATATAAAGTGTAACAATTTATTTACCAAAAAGTGCTGTTAGTCCTGTTACACATTTGTACTTTCATTACCAAAAAGTGTTGTTACCAATGTCCTGTTACACATTTGTATTTACACAAACCATTCAGTGGGCTGTTACATGTGTGTAGTTACACAAACATTACAGCTGTAGATACTATGTACCAATGTGTACTTACACTGTGGTTACATACTGTGTACACATCTAGTTACTATGTAAGTACACAGGTATTAGGACCACTTAATATAAAGTGGGACCATTTTATTTATATTTAATGTACACTACCATTCAAATATTTGGGGTCAGTTTGATTTTTCTAAAGATGACATTACTTTTATTCATCCAAGGATGATCCATTATAATGGTAAAGATCTGTACAGTATTTAGAAAAATTAATGATGTTCTTTTGAATTTTCTTTTTATCAAATAATCCTGAAGAAAAGAGTTTAACATCATAAGTGTTACATGAGCAACAAATCAGCATATTACAGTGATTTCTGAACAATTATGTGACACTGAAGACATTACATTTTACATTACATTTTAAAATACATTAGAATAGAACAACTATTATATAAATTATTATATAAATTGTATTTCACTGTGTTCTTTTTGTATTTTTATAATAATAATAATAATGCAGCCTTGGAGAGCATTAGACACTTCTTTACACACTTCTAAACACACTTTTGAACTATAGTGTATGTAAGCAAAAAGTATACTGATATACTATTCATTTTGTCAGCTGATGCTTTCTAGAAAAACTGTTTAGCACTGGAAAACCTGCATTTATTTGAAAGCAGCTACAGTAAAATTTAGTTGTTAGGTTAGTATTGTAACTACGATTTGACACTTTTAGCTCTGTAACTCAACTTTGTCAGGTACCACAAGAAACCAAGGGGACCTTCAAGGTGCCACTCTGAAGAACATTTAGCAAAAATTGTGCTGTAAATAGCTTAAAACATTGAACTGAGGAAATCTATTATAGGGCCAAAAGATCTAGGGCTAAATTATTCAGGGTCAAATACTGAAGCAGGGTGGAGAGGGCAGATGTCTTTGGAAGCAGTGTAAGGCTGAGAGGCAGGAGTGGAAAATGAACGTTGCTCTACTGTTAAATACATTGCACTCCTGACTGGTTAGTAAGAGGGGGTTAAAATCATCTGGGACAGAGTCATCCGTCAGAGCTAAGGACCAGGATTTCTCCGACACCAGAGACAGAGCCTCCATCTCGGCTAGAGGAATCTAAAGAAGAAGAGACGAGCCAAGAGTGAGATGGGCAAACAGCACATGCATAGTTAGAAGACACGCACAAACTATCACACAGGTTAGTGCAAGTAAATTAATACAGCTAAATGTGGTGAAATCAGTTCATTGCAGTTCAGTGGGTGGAAATCAGAGTTGTGCTCCATTCAAATTTGGACTGAGAAAGTATTTTAAATTCCAATCCCTAAAATGATGTAGCAAACAGGATGGAGAATTGCAATTCAAATCTCAATGTAATGAAGAAGAATTCAAATTAAAAGAAATTCATATATCTGCAATTTTTAAATAGGAAAGAACAGTTTGTCAAGACAAACTTTTAACGTTGGCTTGACAAAGCTTTGTTTAAAAGATTTGCAGGTTTATAGACCAGATAAATAGACACACAGACAGATAAATATTCAATTTGGGTTGAATTTCTTTGTAATTAAATACTATATTTCTTCACATTCATATTCCAATTCAACTTCCAATTCAAATTAACACCCATGAATTAAAAGAGAGCCAATTGTTTAATTCAGAATTGATGGAAACACCCTCCAGTGTCAGCTGACAGGATGCATATAACCTTCCTTCAGTAGCCATGATGGATATCCTGAAGTTTAACAGTCCTCAGATATTAAAGTTAGATCAGAAACAAAAGGTCAAACTCGGTTACGTTTAAAGAGAAATAATGTACAGTCTCTTTCATAAATCCTCAAACGTCAGCAGGTGAAATCCTGCATGCTGCATCGTCTAATTGTCCCTGAGAGTTTGGGCTGGAACAACTTTTTGCAAAGTCGTCAAAATAAAAGCGCCAGCTATTTCCATAAAGACAGATTACAGATTCTCCAATTACATTTAAAAAAAAAAGCTTTTAGAAGCCTCCATTTTGCAATGCTAATGCAATTTAATGAAATATTTCAATGTGAAACAGACCAAAGGAGATTTCCTTGCATAATTCAACAGCGGTCCAGCTTTTTATCGATTCACACATTACCTCTTCGACTTCAGCCTGACGAGTCCATCACTTTTTCGGGTATTAATGATCTTTGGAACGAGGCACAAAGTTCACACAATTTTGCAAAACTTTGTCACTCTTATGGGATCAGGAAATAAGTACATTTCAACAAATGGATTTTACTGGAGCAGAACCAAGTCCTTGCCTTCTAAAGAGTGCTGGAAATCCCAGAGTGCAGAGATGGTTTTGTAACTGACACACAGAACACTGTTAGACTTTTTAACTGTTTAATTTTACAGTTACTCACCGCAAAAAGCCCAGTAAACTACCATATATATGTTTTACGGTTAACTACTGTAATATGCACTGAATTATGGGTATTTTAATGCCATTTACTGTATATGGGAATTTGCGTTACTTTACTGTTTGCTCAAAAGCAGTAGTGCTACTGTAAATTGTTCTGCAGATGAAAAACATTAATCTGCATTCTCAATACAATGTCTGGGTAAGCACAAGTGTGGTGAAATAAAATGCATTTTTAAAATGATTAAAAAATAAAATATATAAACTTTGCTTACACCCCACAAAATTTAAATTGTATTCGCGCGCAACAACCTGGCAGAGGTTATATAAACTGAGGCTTGTGTCGGGTGCCCGCATAACGGACTTCCCCTCTGAGTGAATCGCCAGACGTCAACTGCGAGTTTTCCTGTGGTAAGTACTTTTACACTTACTTTTAAAACGTAAACCATTATCAATATCAATGAAATGTAAAAATATGGAGAAAGTAAATATAAAATCTAATTATAGGCTATTACTAGGACAGTCTGAGGGAAAAGTTTGTTTTCCCCAAAAACTTTCATGAAACTTTCATGAAACTCAATTGTCCTGCAACGGACTGAACGCCTTTCCAGTATAGATGTGTAGTATTTACACAAACAATTATTTTTTGACTTTTTTACTGCTAGTTATGGTATCTTTTACTCCTCAGTTAAATGAATACTGTTAAATGTGTGTGATGTCATTTGAAATAGCACGAGCGCTCTCTCCTTTTACTCCTCAGTTAAATGAATACTGTTAAATGTGTGTGATGTCATTTGAAATAGCACGAGCGCTCTCTCTCTCTTGCGTGCAACATGGGTATATGTCTCGTGCTCTCTCTCTCTCGTAAATAAAACATTTACGCCAGTGCATATACCAAAGAAAAAAATATATATATTCAAGTAAAATTATAATCAATTAATTCAAGAAAGAAAATGCATAATGATTCTTCTTTTTCTCTCTTTTACTTGTTTCAACCGGAGCTAACTACACCCCAAAGGCTATTTTAGGAGCCACAGCATTGAGCATCTTTGGCTTTGTAAGTATGTTTTAACTATCATACACAGTATACATTAGATTAACTGCAGCTATGACAGAAATGTCATAATATAATAATAATTAAAGATATGTTTTGATATATATATATATATATATATATATATTGTGATCCAACAGATATGCAATATCTCTCTGATGTTTGTGTCAGCAGGAGCCAACTACACCCCAGAGACTCTTTTAAGGGCCACCTAGAATCACGGCACCTTTGACTTTGTAAGTTTTTTTAATTTATTTTTTATATGATCACTCATATGTTGGGCTGGGGATTGATAGAGATTTCATAATTCCATTTGATTCACAAGCTCTTAATTCAGTTCTGATCTTGATTCAATTCAGTTTGATTCACAATTATTCTTATTCTGATTCCAGTTTCCATACAATTTAATTGGATTAAAATATTTCTGAGAATTTGATGACAGCCATTTATGTACCTTGATTTAGTATTAATTTTGGTTATAATCCTGTATTCTTCAAGAGTACTTCTAGATTGACTCAAAAGCCTGTTTTGCTCTAATATTTACAAACAATACAAATGTTACAGTAGCTGATACACACTCATATTCCTTGGATCAAGAGCTGTCACAACTAAAAAGATACTTTAAAACACTGCGAAAAAAAAAAAAGTTTAAGTTTGAAGGACCATAAAATTACTCTTTAATGTGATTGTACAGTGGGGAAAATAATTATTTGATCCCCTGTTGATTTTGTAAGTTTGACCACTTACAAAAAAATTAAGGGTCTATAATTTTTATGGTAGGTTTATTTTAATGGATAGAGACAGAATATCAACAAAAAAATCCAGAAAAAAACATTATATAAAGGTTATAAATTGACTTGCATTTCAGTGAGTAAAATAAGTATTTGATCCCCTACCAACCAGCAAGAATTCTGGCTCCCACAGATTGGTTACATGCCCAAGTGGAACACAGATAAGTCCTGTCACTTTAAGAAATTACTCCTAATGTCATCTTGCTATGAGTATAAAAGAAAACAGTCCATAGAATGTGTATCTTCCATTCAAACCTCTCCCACCACCATGGGCAAGACCAAAGAGCTGTCAAAGGACGTCAGAGACAAGATTGTAGACCTGCACAAGGCTGGAATGGGCTACAAGACCATCAGCAAGAAGCTTTTTGAGAAGGAGACAACTGTTGGTGTGAATATTCGGAAATGGAAGAAATACAAAATAACCATCAATCGCCCTCTGTCTGGTGCTCCATGCAAGATCTCGCCTTATGAGGAAAGGATGGTCATGATAAAAGTGAGGGATCAGCCCCTAACTACACAGGAGGAGCTTGTTAATGATCTTAAGGCAGTTGGGCCAACAGTCGCCAAGTAAACCATTGGTAACACACTACATTGCAATGATTTGATATCATGCAGTGCCCGCAAGGTCCCCCAGCTCAAGAAGGCACATGTACAGGCCCGTCTGAACATCTAAATGATTCAGAGAAGGCTTGGGAGAAAGTGCTGTTGTCACATAAGAACAAAATTGAACTCTTTGGCATCAACTCGACTTGCTGTGTTTGGAGGGAGAGAAATGCTGACTATGACCCCAAGAACACCATCCCTACAGTCAAGCATGGAGGTGGAAACATTATGCTTTGGGGCTGTTTCTCTGCTATGGGTACAGGATGGCTTCACCGCATTGAAGGACCGATGGACGGGGCCATGCAGCCAGAACACTGAAGATGGGTCATGGATGATGGGTCTTCCAGCATGACAATGACCCAAAATACCGCCAAGGCAACACCCTTACAAAATCAGTATGGGATCAAATAATTATTTTCCCTGCTGTACATTTAGGCAATTAATGGAGTTCCCTGACAAGGATGTGCAAAAAAGCAATACTGTTTAAACAGTACTATACTGGGAATAACTGCTGTTGCACAAGTTGTTACCTTGTCTGTCCATGAACAAATTTAGAAGAGATAAACTCATGACCATTTCTCTCACATTTCCCCTCTGTTTTGTTTCAGATCATCTGTCAGTGGTTATGGAGGCCATGCATCCAAGACCAACTAGGATGATTGTTTCCATATTTTTTTTTGTTAAGATATATTCATGATCTCATCTCAGTTTGTCTCAGGTCACTTATTTGGAATTTATTAAATTCAATGGGATTCATGTAAAATATTCAAAGGTTTTATAAAATAAATAGTGTGAAATAAATTACAGTAAAATTACTGTAATATTATTATACTGTTACAGTTATTATAAGTTACAGTAAGGATATAAGGATATAGTACTGTAAAATTAAGTTGTGGTAAGAGTATTTTACTATAAAATGAAATTGCGGTAAGGGCATTATACTGTAAAATAAACTTGCGATAAGCTACTGTAAAGGGGTAGTTACAGTAAATTATTGGCAATAGTGCTGCCAGTAAGTTACCGCAGAAATACAATAAAAAGTCTAACAGTGAAGCTTCGGTGCTATTATGTACGTTTAAGTGGTCCAGAGAGAAAAAAGGAGGGAGAGCAGAAGGGAAGGAGACAGGCAGAGGAGTGTGGTACAAGGCAAAGCTGGGTAAACGGGGATGCCATTGACCTGTTTCTCAGTGAAGTGCTTGCTGGGAAGGGGGGGCAGAGCGTAGTAGTGGCAGATGGAGCCAGATAGGTTGTCCATGAGGCTGAGCTCTCCTTCCAATGAGCCCTGGATCACCAGGGAAACTGAGTCAAACATAGGCCTCCGCTAAAAGCCCCAGCATGTGGCAGACGGGATGAATGACGAAGAGAGAGAAAGAGAACAGACAGAGACCGAGGCAGAGGAGATGACCAGGGGTGACGTGAATGACATTACACAGAGAAAAAACAGAGGAGAAATGAAGGAAGGACAGAAGTTTGTAGACTATAACACAAGCAGCCAGAAGAGAGATTTACAAAAGGATAAACAAGCTACTCAGAATTCATTTAAAGGAACAGTTCACCCAAAAATTAAGATGTCGTCATTTAGTCACCCACGTTATTGACTGTCTTTCTTCCATGGAACACAAAAGCAGACATTCTTAACCATGGACTTCTGTTCCTCAGAATAAAGACATACAGGTTTGCGACAACATGACAGTGATTAACTGACAGAATTAGAAATTTTAAGTGAACTGATTGTTTAAACCAGTTTAGCTAAGATGCATTGCTTAGTTATATCAGTAGTACAATGCATTATGTGCTGATCAGATGTAGTATTGGGCTCTGAACTTACAAAGATACATTGCTCTCAAGAAAAACGTTTGATACTACCACTGACATCCACAAGGGGGAACTAGAGCTCTATGAACATTTGCCCTGATGATGAGCAAAAAATTTAGACGCAGCCACACTTCAGAAGAGAGCTGGAGGGAAAATGTCATTGTTAACTTAAAAAAAATGGCTGGTATTCTGGAAATAGCCAGCCTACATTAAAAAAAGAAGAGGTTTGTATCACTACTTTCCCATGGCATCAGTCTGACCTTCGACCACTAAGTTTATGAGGAGCAAACAACAGTCACATCTCCATATGACAATAACAGAAACTGATGGACTTCCCCACTTTAAAAATAACAGTCCCGTGTTTTAAAACATGCCTTTTTAGTAAACCTAAATGCATGTTAATAATGATCTGAAAGCCCTGGCAAATACTAAATCTGCATTGATTTTTGAACTAATAAACAGTTAATTGTTAGTTAACAGTGCTAGTTAACTTTTCACTGTTAACTAGTTGCTTAATTAGCATGCATAGCATATTGGCTGCTTATTATTGCCTTATTCTGTGTGACCATATTCTAGATCCCTTAACCCTACCCAATAACTAACTACTACCACAACTACCTTACTTATGATCAATAAGCAGCAAATAAGACATTTCTTGAGAGGAATACTCTTAGTTAATAGTGAAGTTTTTTTTTCACAGAAGGACAAGTCATACAGGTTTAAAAACAACATACAAGATGAGTAAATAATGACATTTTGAAATTAAATTTAAATTTTTAATGTGTGAGGTGTTGTTTATCACAGAAAATATCTTTACTATGTTTAAAGAAAAATCATGTTTACAATTATGCACTTGAACAGAAGTCAATGGGGCACTGCGTTGCACTGAAATACATTTTGAAGCACACAATGTTGTGCGTAGGACTACAAGGCTTAAACATACGTGTTTACACGACTAGAGTAACAAAATTGTTTACCATCTTCTTCTATGCAGAGTTCCTCTCATGACCATATAAGGCCAGTAAAACCCTGCAATTTTCAGACGATACGTGCAATAATTCCAAAAAGGGACTTTTCACATAGAGACAAATCCACAGGAATTAGACTGGTAATGCAGAACCAAAATCTCAGTAGTCCCACTGCTAAAAAAACAACTTGCATATCAAATAACTCACATTTTGTTTAGACAAATTTATATATGAATGCACTGATACAAGACTTTTTTTTTCTTTTGCTTTTATACCCTCTGGAAGGTCTTGCTCTATCGACTTCCTCTGCAAGTGCACTGCTGTAAACAAGACTTTTTTTTTGTTTTAAGGACAACATTATTTTCAGTGGTAATGGAAAGCATAAAGCAGATGCTTACGTCTAATTGAACCAGAAACATTCTTTTAATGTGCATCAGTGTCGTATATGGGTTCAGACATCTATGGAAGCATATGGTATGTTGTCTAGCAGTATATTGGATTTAGATAATACAGTGTTGCAGTGATGATGTATTTTTGTAGGCCAACCCAGACGTTACCATCACCCTGGTTCCCTTGACAAAAACCAGAAAGAATTTTCTACTGGCTTAAGGATTATTGCAGAAAATAAGCTCTGTGACCAAAAAAGGTTTATGATTCCTACATGTTTTGTTCATCATGATAACCTTCACAAATAAACATAATTTTTATGAATTTAGAAACCTACATACAATCGACAGAAGTGGGGGAAAAAAACTATAAAATCTATAAACAAACTACACCATGGTCACACCATCACTAATCTTCTGACAACTCGTTCAGTCTTTATTTAATAATAATTAAAAAAAACGGAAAGTTTATGTAAGAATAGTTTGCAAAAGTGTGATTATAAACAAAGCTGTGAAAACCTGAGTGATGAGTTTACTTGTTCAGTGTGATGATGTTTGTTCCATATTTAGCCACTTGTTAGCAACTGCCTTTTCCAAGTTTACAAGGGGGTATTTACTGATGTATTTTATGTCACAGAATATAACATGACAATATCTTAATCTTGTGCTAACCCACAGACCTTATTTCAGGCAAAAACCCATTTAAAAAAATGTTAACTTAGTTCCCAAGTTTTGGCCTACAAAAATACGTCATCTCTGCAGCATTCTATTCAAAAGTTTCAGCAAAATGAAAGCAAGCTGGACACCCCTGCTGAAACCTGCTTAAGATAGTGGCTGGTTTCTAGCTGGCCTGATGTGGTCATAAGCAGCTTAAACCAATTAGCATATAGTCTGGCTCACGTGTTGAGCCTAGAAACGACACCATTGAAGGTACACACCACTGACCTTACACCCACTCACCTCTAATGGCGGATCCAAATTATGAGGAGGATCAGGATCTGTCATTATGTGATCTTCAGAGTCCCTGCGTATGTCTGCAGGTGGGCTGTCTGTGGGGTAAAGACGTCCCGACATGTCTCGAGAGTCTCTTGAGATCCAAGGCGACCCCCCTGGTCCACTTACATCACTATGTCCCAGAGGTGGCATGTGTCCTCGGGATATTCCTCCATCTCCACCCACAGCCTCCAACTCCAGCTCCATCTCAGCTTCTAGCTCAGCCTCCTCCTTAGCCTCTTTGTTGCTTTCCTCCAGGTGCTTCATGAGCACAGCAATCACCACATTGACCAGCACAAACTGGGCCGTCAGTACAAAGGACACAAAGTAAATGGGGGACACCACCGTGTTGTAGCAGATGCCTGTGTCTTGGGAGCAGTCTCTGAGCGTGTCCTGCAACGTGGATGCACAGCCACAGAGAGTAAAAATGAGAGGCGAATAGGTTGTAAAAATGCAAAGCATTTAAAATAAAACCATGTGGATCATTGAAATTCACCATGAATTTCACTGTCCCACCTTCATAATGCCATTCCAGTTGTCCCCGGTGGATACACGGAACAACAGGAGGAAAGCCATGCCAAAATTCTTGAACGTGGCATAACGGCCAAGACCTTCACAGGGGTGCAGCTCATCACATACTGGGACAGAAACAAAATGTCATAGTCTGAGGTACATGGTCTGGGAATGTGCAAATCTGCATATTTTCAGCGCTGTGAAAAAGTTAAAATTTAATTTAATTATCCACTTAATGAAAAGTTGGTTAATTTTTAACACACACTTTCAGATATACAGTAAATATTCCAAAATTGGGATCACAGCAACACAATTTTAGGTTCCCCAAAGAACCTTTCAGTGATCAGTTCTTAAAACAACCATTGTTTTGTTAAATAAAATAAAATTGGAATACTTTTATAGAACCTTTATCGACTATAAAGAAACTTTTGTACAATGAAAAGGTTCAATGGATGTTAAAGGTTCTTCATAGAACCACAGATGCCAAAAAAACCAACAAAAAAAACCCTTTATTTTTAAGATTGATGTGAGCATATAGATGTAAGACAGATTGCAAGCACTCTGAAACTTTCTCCATTTGTGGATTATATTACGTACTACAAAATAATTGACATTTAGCATCTTGAAAATGGCTTTAAATCTTTTTCCAAACTCTTAAATCACAACAACCTTCATTCTGAGGAGCTTAGACAGCTCTTTTGATCTTGGCATGATGGTACCATGCACTTCAATGTATGTACAAACTGCACTTTCCAAAATCACCATAAGCAGAAACTATTGGCAGTCCAGACCAGTTTATTAAGGTTATTCGATATAAGGCGAGACCTGATTTTAATTTTAGAAACTCGAGAAGAAATTCAGAAGTTCAAAATTTACATTCAAAGTGTCAAATTATATTAACTGAATTACCATATATTTATTGATGAAATAGCATTTTCCAATAGCATGTTGGAAAGAAGAAATACTACACATTTT